AATGTTGATTTTTTTTTTTTTTTTTGTTCTGCATACATCATTTAATGGTAATTCTAACCATACATTAGTTTGTCATCTGTTTTATATTTATTTTCGAAAGTTTAGTTGGTTATTTGTTTGTGCTACATCAAATTGAGCAATTGATTGCAGTTCTGGGTATGAAGTGGGCCAATTTCCATCAGGGTCATCAAAATATATTCTTAATTTATGATGGTGAAATACTGGAATTTTGAAAAGGCTAGTCCCTAGAGGCCAAAGTTCTGTCAGAAAGGAACAATTTCTTTCTATTAGGATGGGAAGGAATGTCAGCGGTAACAAACTCATTTGTGAACTGCAATTGGATTATTGGAAGATGATAAGCATTGCATTCTTTATAGGTTCCATTTTTTTTTTTTTTTTAGTTGGGACTCGCACACACTGCCTCCACTGAGGTTCGAACCTCTGACCTTCCTTTAGGAAGTAGGACCCTTGTACCGCTAGGCCACAGGCCTGTTGGTTTTTTTTTTTCTTTTTGGCGAAGAACAACGAAATAATGTGCTAAATTAAAACTAATATTAACCTCCTGGAATGGCAAAAGTTCATCTTATCTTTGTAGGGGAAAAATTCTCTTTTCTAATTGATCTGATTTGCACAAATGTTCATCCCGTGTTCAAGACAAAAATAAATATATAGATAAAGAAGCACAGTAAAAGTAATTTATTTATTTATTTTATTTCATTTCATTTTTTTATTTGTTATTTTGAACTTCAGTCAAAAGAAGCTTGCATTAAAGCTTCCAAAGTAGAACAATTGGCAAAAGGTCGGTTCAGTGAAATGAATAGTGATCTGACTGTACACTGCTGACGCTTGGTAAGTTATATTACATACTCTATGCCATAGCAATTTTTGTGAGCATAGATTTGTTCTTTTCATTTTAAGTTTTTCCCGGAGGCATTTAATATTATAATCCTACAAAAAGCATATACTACAATGTTCATATTATCTCCTAACAGTGTTTGCAGCGGTCAAAGGTCAGGTTTGCCGATTCTACTGAAGAAATAATCATTCCAAAAGTGGATTTTCAAACCAGATAGTCTCAAAGAATGATAAGAAGATAACAGGCAAAGGTAGTTATTGATGATTATAGTAAATATGTAAATCTTCATGTTGTGTGTGGATTTAGATCTTCCTGACTGGTTCAAGATAAAAATCTGTTTTGGTTGCAGGGTGAGTTGCAGTATTGAAATATGCTTCGAAATGAGACTTACCACACATGTAGCAGCACATATGAATTATGAAGCTGCATTTATATCCTACTGAGAACAGTTGTAGCGGGAAATAACAAGATTTTAGACAGCTATCCATTGTTGTTGAAGGATATGATAGTCCAAAACTAGGATGAAGGAAAATAATTTTTACAATGCCAGCCATATTTACCAATTTTTATGGAATTGTTTATATATTTGTGTGAATATATATGTTTTCATGGTGATTATATGTGGAATTCCTGCATCTGTTGAATCTGCTCTACTTTTTAACATGAATTCATAATTAAAGACATTGAATATATTCATAGTATTGAGCATTTGAAAGAGAAAATACACGTGATTTGAAATAGTTTGCAGGAGGTATGATCATTGATAAATTTGCGTAATTGTAGCTAAAAGACTAATGCTCAAATGAAAAAAAGATAAAATTATCATAATTACATGACCAAACGTTGCAATTACATGAACAGACGTTGCAGTGCAACATCAAACTAAACTAATCGTCTTCATTGCTTTCATTTTTTTTTGCCCTTAGAGAGTAAACCTTGCTAGGAAACCTAACTGATAAAGATCGAGTTCGTTTGCGTCCTGATTTTTTTTCAGGGTGAGAGCTGTTGTGAATACTTGTTTCTTCGTAAACTTTTTTCCTCTTTAAATCAATGATCCAAATTTCACCATTGGCATCATCATCAAGATCTTGACCGTTATGGATTCTTTTTTGGGATCATCAAGATCTTGACCATCATGGATTCTTTTTAATATTATTTTTAGGAGTGCAATCGCTGCTCCTCCTGCTCTTCCAACTTCTTTTCCTTTTCCTTTTCATTTTTTCTCTTTCCTTTTCATAGTGATCTAAAAGCCAAGGGTCCGGGTCCAAGTTCCATCTTGCGCCTGATTGTATTAGGGTGGCTGAAATTTTAGGGTTTTTCACTAACACCATCACAGCAAAACACTTGCTGCAGTTGAAGGAGAACCAATATGTTTTGGCATTGTCGTCAAACACCGCTTCTTTGCGGGAATTCAACTTGGTGCCTTGTTGATGTAGTTGCCGCAGGTCCTGCAACGAATGCTAGTGGGCATCGTCATCGTCGCCGGTGAAGAATCTAATTCCATGTAGTACTTGTCCAAACCCATTCTCTCTCCCAACATGATTCGATTTGTTGCGACAATGAACTAAGGTTGCAATGGAACAAAGGTACAATCAATCAAATATAAAGAAAAGAATAGAGTTGTGCGATGAAACAGAGGCGTAATCAAACAAATATAAAGAATTGAGTTGTTGGGAAGGAATTAGGATTCAAAATCCTTGCGAGCTCTGATACTTGTCTAACAAGAATTCCTTTTGTTCCAAAACTTAACTAGCAATAAATTAATTACCGTATATATAAAATACCCAAACCTAATTATAATGGGAATTTGAGACTGACCTACTAAATAAGGAATAATTAAAAGACTAAACTACCCATCTACTAATATTTCCGGAATTTCTTTCTCCACTATTGCATTTAGTTGAAATACTTGATTAATGCTATGGTTGTCACAAAAAATTGGCCTGCAGTGAGTGGGGCAATGCTTATTTATTTTTATTTATTTATTTATTTATATTTTATTTTTTGCATTCTTGATCTATGGTAATCCTAACCAGAACATCATGTTTAAGACCGATGGAAAAGTTCGTCTTATATCTGATATGCATAAAAAGTTCATCTTATGTTTAACACAAGTTCAGGTGGAATGTTATTTTTAGTATGATTTTCTTAAGCTGATTGTAGAGACTACCATAAGGAACCAATAAAATATGGTGGTTTTTGGGAATATAGGGTTGACAAAAAGGGTAGCTCAAATGCAGTTTTTGCTGAATGGCCAAAGTGGATCTTTTATACACAGAAATTATTACCTGAACACAAACCAAAAATGATCAATCAACACATAAGCAAGTGTGTAAGTTTTATGTCTACTTTATTCCACTTTTTTGCTTACATGTCAATTAATGATTGGCCGGAACCATTACCCTCTGCAAGCTCAAGTTGATATTTATGTACATTTGTTGCTTTATGTTCTACAATTGAGGCATTTGCTTTATCTCATGACATGCTACTGACAACTTTTGATATGTATTGTGAAATAAGAAATAGAAATGTTGGTTAAGGAGAGAGCGATTTTATGGTTTTCTGGTGATAACATTCTCATGTGTTTCTGTTCTTTCAATCCTTGAGACACTTGTCAGAATCTACAGCCATCTTGTTCCAATTATTCTTATATTTTCAATAGTGATTGGAATCTACCCTTCAAACTTGCATAACTTCTGTATATCTCAAATGATGTACATATTTGCATTATTTATATTATGCAGCTTAGTTTTTCAATCAGGCACTGCAAACATATTGTATCTGAATCCTATAATAGTAAAAAATTTTGAAGAAAATGTGCTGTATTATAGTGGCAGATGAATTACTGAATGTAAAAGAACTATGTTGATATACGTGCCACGACGTCTGCTTGAGTGGCACTATCTCTGAAAATAAGCACACCTAACAGTACTTATCTGGCGTGCTCCTGAAAGGACTAAGTATCCTCGAGCTACTCGTCCTATAACTCACTGGCCGAGGAAGGGGTCGCTACCCTTCCTTTCATGTGGACGAGCCCCACTTTAGTCGGATGGGCCCTCCTCCTTTCTTTTCAGAGGTTGCTTCCTATAGGCGTAACCTCGGGCATTTTTCTCTCGAGCTCCCTTTAACTGTAAGGACTTCGAGACACCGCGCTAGGTTAACTCGTATTTATGAAGCTGACCTTTCTACCAAGCTCCCCTCTGATAGCTCACATTTATGAAGCTGACCTTTCTATTGAGTTTCCATCGTTTAGCTCACATTTATGAAATTGAGATCCCTTCGGTTAACTTGTGATAACCCAGATTTTTAGAATTTTATTTTATATTTACTTCATGATTTTTATGTTATCAAGATTGTGTATTTATTTAAATTGGAAATTTATCCAATTGAGATTTGAGATTTAATGAGTTGATTTGATTATATATGATTTATATATATATATTTGCTTCAGATGGGCAGGTGGTGCCGAAGAGAGTAAGAGAAATGGGATTTGTATTTGGTTTGTGCATTTGAATATATATATATATATATATATGTGGTGAATCAGTTTGTGGAATAGATAAAGAAAAAATTATGAAGTTGTAATAGTTGGCGCAGGTCCCACTTGATTAGTGAGTAATGGGTTTGATTAGTTTTATATGTGTGTGTGTGTGTATATATATATATATAATTTGATGGGGAAGTTTGCTGCCTACCGAAGTTGAAGGAAAAATGAAATGGAAATGTGTACGCAGGGCCCACAAGGAATGATAATAAAGGACTTTTGGTTTCGTGCATAGAGAATGTATATTATATATATATATATATATATATATATATATATTTTATGTAATAAGATGATGGAGAAGGAAAGATGGCAGGTCGGCGAAAGTGGTAAAAGAGAGAGAAAGGGTGTTGCAACCGAGAAAATAAAGAAAAGATTGGAAAGGTTTGTGCGGGACCCACTTGGATTTTTGTGCAAAAAGTCTTTTTGAATTTGGTTCCTTCACGTGATTGTCTGATGGAGTGTAAATGAGTTGAAAAGAATTGAAAAGATAATGTAAGCAATGGGCTTCACGTGGGTATCTGGTTTCTATGCTAGGTAGGTGGATTTGCCTTTATATATGGTGCATTGTCTTGTGAATTTAGTAAGCAAACAGAATAGAGAAAAATTAAAGAGCGAGAGCAGAGATGGATAGTGAGGTCTGAGAGTTCACAGAGGGCCGAGATTGAGGAAAGACAGAGAGGTCCGAGAGTCTGCAGAGGAGGTCTTGGAGCTTGGATCTTTGATGATCTAGTGAGAAATTAATCTTTTTCAGTGTAGGATTCTCTGTACCTTGAATGGCATGGGGTGGTTTTGATTAAATGTTTTTATTAAATGCATATTTATTTTGTTTATATACTGATCATATGAATATGTATGTTTTGTGAAGCTGTTTTGTTAAACCTTCATAAAATTCTTGTTATGGTTTTTCTTACTGGGACTTTTTGTCTCATCACCCTCCAGTTTCAGGTACCGAAGATGAACAGGAATTGCTAGATTTGGGCTTAGGTTGAAGAGTTGGCGTTGCCGAATTTAATTTATTTTATTAGAGATTTTTATTTTTTATTTTTTATTTTATATTTGAGGAAATTGACTTTATATAAAAGAGGGTATTTTTTTATGATCCTGGGTGTATTTTGATGTATTTGAGTTGAATGAATTGAGGATTTTATTGAAATTTTCGGGTCATGACATAACTCACATTTACAAAACTAGCTCTCTGGGGAGCTCCCTTCGATTAACCCATTCTTCATAAAGCCGACCACTTTATCTAGTTCTGTAATACCTCTAATTTCAAAATGATAGTCCTGCTATTTAATTTATTGTTTGTGTGGCATTTTTAATTGTTTAAGTGCATATTTATTTGTTTAATGGTTTAATTGCTTGTTATTTTAATTAATTAGATTTTAATTATTTCATTGATTTAATTGAAATTGTGAATTTTGAATTAATTGTATTAATTAAATTCTTGGATTTAAACTGTTTCATTGTGTTTAATAATTATGTAATTGTTTTTATTTAATTAGTTCTTTATTTGGTTAATCGTGTATTTAAATTTCATTACTTGATGTGTTGTTTTAATTGAATTTAAATTTAAATATTTTAAGTATTAATGTGATGGGATTAATTGGTAACACGCATGGTTATAAATTAGGTTTTGCTCTATGGGCCGAGTAAGTCAATTTAGGGTTTGATTGAACGTAGGATTAGTTTGGCCTATAAATATAGGTATAAGGTTCTGCCAAGGGATTTAGAACCCTACTCATGACGGTGGAGGCAGAGGGAGAACAGAGGAGGATTTCAGTGAGGATTGCCGGAAACCTTAGGATAACGGCGTTAAGATTTTGAACCAAAGTCTTATAGGCAAATTCTAACCTCAACTCTTTCCTTTTTACTCGTGTTTTTTGCATGCCTAAGCTACATTCCTCTTGACGAGGCATAGGCAAGCATGGTCCTACTTTAGTGGAACCCTTTTTTTTGTGGTCTCCTCTGGATAGGATTGGGTATGTTAAAACAATTCTCAGTGTGCAGTTTTTGTTTTAAGTTTTTAAAGAATAAAAAATTATTTTTATAATTACAAATCAAACAAGTTCATAGCTTTACAATTTTAGTTCTGGCTTCTTCTTTTTTTTTTTTTTTCTTTTTTTTGTTTTATTGGTGGATTGAAGTGGCTTTGAAAATGTATGTTCCTAGACCCCAACAACACGCATTAATTAGAGAAACATATAAAATTATGATTGGACAATTTTAGCGAAGGCAATAATAAACTATTTCCGGTTGGTGAAAGTGATGCTTTGGCAGTAGTTTATAGAAAAAAAAGATTAAATAACATCCTAAACATTCAACCTAGTAGCAAAAGCTAATCAAAGTAATAATTGAAAGTTAAATATTTGCAGTAGTGCCAAGTGCCAAGATATGTGAAGCCAACTAGCAACTAGTATATATCAGGAGGATTGAAGATTCGTTTCCACACTGCATCCACAACAAAGAAAACTATTATTGCCCATAAAAATTTCATAAAAAGAAACCTATATCATCTAAAACACCATTTTAAAAATTAACAGGAACATGATTTTATAATTACCTGATGGTGGAATGGGTTTTCCATCTGCAAAGAATATTATGAGAAAAATAGTATGAGAAAAAATTTTAGGAGGAAAAAAAAACAAATTTACTAGTTAACAATTTCTTAATTCATTTTTAGTAACATTTTTTAAAATTTGTTATAATTACAAGAAACTCATTTGGTCTTATCAAACATAATTGTCACAAATTCTCTCAACTACAAGTTTTGTTAGCATGATGAACTTTCATAATGTCAACTGTACCCTTGGTCACATATTTGCATATATCTATAAGGTTCATGGGCAAGTTCAATTCTCAAATGGACAAAATAACGATTGGGTTATCTATCATAGTTCATTTGAGCCAATCAATTAAGTATTTTTTGCCATATTTTTCAAAAATAGGAATTCTCGACTCATTATTAGAGGAAAACCTTTATTGAAAGTTATTTTGCAAGTACCATGTGCCATTGGTTTTCTCTATGAAACGTGGATAAAGAAGGACTAGACAATAAATTGATTGCATTGCAAAAGGTCAAAAAATTGGTTGGAATAAGGGAATGGACAATGAGATGGAATAACTATAGTGCTAAGATCAAGGGCCGATATGCCAGAACTATATATTGCTAAAAGTTAATCCGCGAAAACACTGGACTAATCATGCTTACGTTCTCTTAAATTGGGAGAGGCCAAATTGGAGGTGATAAATCCAACTTGGGTCAATTTCTTTTGAGACTAGATAGGTGCAGAGAGACACTTGATGATGGTAGGGTCTGGGGAAAAGGGCAAAAGTGTCTCTCCCACACTACTGCAGATGAGAGAAGCCGAGTGTATCCATGGTTGGAGTGAAGGGTTAACATGTCTTTTCACAATAACTAGTTTATTCAGTTAATATCTAGATTTTGATGAGCAAAGTTGTAAAACATCTCTCTCTCTCTCTCTCACACACACACACACATATGTATTCTCTTAACGGAGATAACATCTGCCAAAAATTATATTAATCAAAAATTACTCACTACATGTGAAAAAAAAAAAAAAACATTTGCCTTACCACGACAATATCGGGCCAAGTCTTCTTTAAAGTACTTACAAGCTGCATGATCTTTCCAAATCTCATTTTTACACTGTTTTAAGCCAAACAATAATTGTAAATCATTATTGCACAGGAAGTAAAGATTAAGAAGAACAATAAGGCAAAAAAGAAAAAAAAAAAAGGAAGAATCAGGTCACTACAATGGCTTTGAAAACAGAACAAAGTCGATATAAATCTAACTAAAATTTATTCACAAATACAATGTTGTTACGTGACCGTAACAACATTGAAGTGTCAATGTCCAAGGAGTGAGACATCATCAAAGTGGAAGTGCTATGGCATCTCAATTTATGTATAACAGTTCATAGATGAAGATACTTATACGAGGATATAATGGGAATAAGCACATTCATTCACTTGTGTCCACAAAATTGAACAAAGAATAACACATCCTTATCCTTCAAGACATAAGCGATAAAATAATAATAATATTTTTTTTATAATTTCGTTCACTTATCAAAAAATATATATATTAAAGACACAAAATTTCCATTTAAACGGAAAATTGAATTATGATTAACAAATTTAAGGCATAACAATGAAATAAACAAAGAACTCTTATAGAAAGTTTAGTTGTTTGTAAATAAAAATCAAATATACCTCTTTGTAAAGCTTGGTAAGATTCTCACATGGTGGTTTGTCATTTGTGACCATAGAATCTTTCAAATGTTCACACTGCCCCTCCGGAATCATATCACCCTTTTTAAGTAGGTCTTTATAACCTGCAAATGAGAGTATTAGAAGGATATATGCGTGGGCGTCATAAGAAAGCATTTTGCAAAAAGAATCATATAAACATACCATAGAAAAAGTCACAATGCAACAATTTATATCTTTTTTTTCATTGCTCAACTATGTCCACACTTCCTTTACCAGAAGTATATATATTAGGATTCTAAGTCAACATTAAACAATTCGGAGGCCACATTTGATCACAAATCCCCACTAAATCACATATGAAATCGCATATCAGCACTTACTTTTTGTCATAATATATGAGAAGAAAAAAACTTGCATCAATATAATATAGATGTAACTCAGTCCCCATGAAGTTCATAATACCCATCAAAGGAACAGTCTAGAAACCTTCACATAGTGAAGTTATATATATACACACACACATTAGTAGAAAAACAAAATAGAGATAGAGAGAGAAACATAATGTAATTTTTCTGTTCTTTCTTTTTTCTTCAATTAACAATTTGTAATAAAATAAAGGATATAAACATCGCCACATCAATTTCAAGATCAAATCTCGAATTAAAATTCGAGATGTGTAGCACTACTTTTTTTTTTATCGCATAAAATGCATTTGTTCAACTTGACAGATACACGGGAAAACGCCAGACAATTTGAATCTACTTGGCATGAACAAATTAAGAGGAAACATTAAAAAATCAAAAAGAAAATACAAGCATTCAGTAGAACTAACAATCCATTAGATGAACTGCAAGAACAAGAAAAAGAAGTAAACAAAAACAAGAGATACAACATATATATAACCACAAAAATAAGAATTAAGTTCTATAAAAACCATGCATTGAGAATGAAAATAGAAGAGACAACAAAGAGAGAGGGATGGGGGGTAATAATTGGAACAGATTATTCCTTACCATTAGTGTATAAGTACAATAATTTGCGTAATGATCCACAATATTTTGTAGCATTGCTCCCAGAATAGCTTAGACACTGCATCATAACAAAGAAAACCAAGCAATAGTTATAAACCGCGATATTGTTGTACACATACTTTTATAATCTCGCTTTCATTTTTAATTAATATTTACAAAGATTCATACGTAGTATTATTTACCACCAAATAAACTACACTAAAAGATCAATATAAGAGGATAAAATTGAAAATAAAGACAAATATTGTACTTTATTGATTTAAAAAAGAATTGGCAAATAATGTCGTAGTTCAATAAATTCACTGATAGTTCAATAAATTCAGGGACTTCGAATTTATATAATGATAGTAAGACGGGTATGATTTATATACTCAAACACCAATTTATTTATTTTTTTATTATTGGGGTGGAATGATAATTTTGAACTACATATACAAAAATTGAGAAAAACACAATAGATGGTTTATTTAAATTTGGAAAATGATTCTTGTATTGAGTTGGTCAATTATGCAATAAATAAAGAAGTAGAGAGCACTTAGTTGAATTTGATATAAATAATCCATTAAAAATAGTTTATTTTTGTCACTCTAATGGTTTCTAAATACAAGGCCGGACTCTCTGAACATCTTAAAAGGAAAAGAAATAACAAAAAAAAAAAAAAAAATGAAAAATCAAACTCCTGAAACTTATATGATTAGTAGGGTGGGAAAGAAATAAGGTTTACGAGGTTGGTGGGGAAATTACCACCCGAAATTCTCTAGTTATTTCGAGCGGCTTGATTTCATCACCTAATTTGCCTTACTTACGAAATCAGACCATAGCCTTAATCACTTTATATTATTAGACTATTTACTATATATATATAAAGAATTGGCAAATAATGTTG